CCTCTGATGCTGCTTGGCCTGCTGTGTTCATCCAGCTCTACACCTTGTTATCTCAGACTCCAGTATCAGCGGTTCCTACTATCCCTGAGATATCCAGTTCTGTTAGGAAGGGAGTCCCAGAATGTTTACTTTGTGACAATGAAGGAACATCTGGTATATGTCCAAATCAGGATCGCGTGTGCCTTGGGGGGTAAGTGTGTGCTTGCTGTCCTTGTCTTCACTGGTGATGGAGATGCTGGGTTTGGGTTGGGCTGTTTCTGGATTTGCCTTTGGAACTTCATGAGAGGCCAGGTACAAGCCCATTTGACCACCTAATGATCATACCCTCTAGCGTATCGAATACAAGTGAAAAACCTCCAAGATACTTACCAGGCTCAAGGCCGAACTCCAGATAATCCTCCCGCACGACCAGGACCAGCATAGCAATGAGGACAAAGAGGAACGCAAAGGTCAGGCAGACAGAGCGCTCGCCTCCTTCCTCTGTCCTGAAGTAATGTGTCATCAGAGAGAAGAGAACTTTACTGTGCAGGTAGTGTCAAGGCAAACAAGGGGATTTCACAGTAGAATTGAATCAAAACACAGCCCATTTTGTGGGCAGTCAATGTCAGTTTAAGACAGCAGCACTTCTTCAATCTCAATTTGTCAAAGGGGACAGCACCAAGGAGGGAACAATTCCTACATCTAGCGCCAGGAAGGATGTCTGATTCAGATCAGGGTCTGTACTTCACATCCCATGCTTTTTTATTTCAGTAAACAAAGGAACAGGAAGAGGCCATTCAGCCCCTTGAACCTGTTCCACCATTTAATCAGATTACCTCTGACCTGCAGCTTAACTACATTTACCCCACTTGGCTTCATATCCCTTAATTCAATTCACCCATCAAAAACCTTGGAAATTTAATTCGACCACTGTCCCCCAGCATCTTTTAGGGAACGCAAGTTTCAGATGTCCACTACCCTTTGTGAAAAAACAAAGCTTGTTCATTTCATCCTGTACAGCCTGCCTTGTAAAACACACACTTCCCTTACTCCTGCCCAATTCCAGTTGCATTTCACCAGCTGTGGAAACTTGTTGGAGCCACTGGTTGTTACAACTGCAACAGCTGTTCCAACATATCAGTGGAAGTGGCTGGTTTGCCGGTTGCAGGAGGAGAGGGCTCTGACCCAGAAGGCTGTCCTTGTTGACTGCTCTTTTTTATGTAGCAGCGGTCAGTTTGTTTATCCCCCCGATTACTTGAGGAGGAAGATTAGCAGGGCTGTAAACACTCAATTCATCCCACCAACAGCTCTCAGCAGGGGACAATGCCATTAACCACTTTTACAGCTTGTCAGAGAGTCAATAGTTATCCAATAAATTAAAACATTTCAACTGACTGAAAGGGAGGATAGTGACAGTCTCTCTCCTTGATGTAAAACGCAAATAAATTTTATGGACTTATCAGAAACCCACTGGAGATATCTTCTCTATAAAATAAACTGTGAATCTTTTCACCTGAACATCAATAATTTGTGACAATAACAAGCCCACTTTAATACTACTGTTCCCTTAAAACAACAAGCTGGCCTCAAATCTGAAAACCCGTCCTTCCTTTAAATAAGTATCCTTTAGTTTAGCCGGCAGCGTTCAGTTCTTTAGAGTGAGAAGATTCTAAGAGTTCAGCACCACAGAGCACGTGATCCAAGCTGACACAGTGCTGCAGAACCAAGGCAGTGATGAACTGTTGTAGGTGCTGGCTTACCGAGTAGGCATTAAACTCAGATATGGTCCGCCCTCTCAGCTGGAGGCAAGATATCCTATGTCTCCATTTCAAAGGAGAGCAGAGGCTCCTAGTTAGCCCAGTCTTATGGACAATATTCCCCATATAGCCAATGTCACTAAAAAGGTCACTAAATGGTCATTCATCCCTTTCATGTTAGAGGGTTCTTGCTGTTCGCTGACTACATGCCACATTTGTTACATACGAACAGTAACTGCACTCAAGGAATTTCTTTTCTAAAAAAAAACGATTAATTTATTGTGAAGCACTTTCAGACTTCCAAGGATGTTGATTTTGCAATTTAACAATAAAATAGTTAACCTGATCATCTGTTTTAATGATGGCGTTGGTTCAGGAATAAATATTGGCCCCAGAGACTGGGGATAACTCATGCCCTGTCCTTGATTGGAATGGTGTCATCGGATCTTTTATATCCACCTGACGGATGTTCATGCAAAAGACGACATTTCAGCGCTCCCTCAGCACTGATGCTCTGACAGTATGGCACTCCCTCAGCACTGACCCTCCGACAGTGCGGCACTCCCTCAGCACTGACCCTCCGACAGTGCGGCACTCCCTCAGCACTGACCCTCCGACAGTGCGGCGCTCCCTCAGCT